TATATATATATATATATAATGAACTACCAATAATGATTACTATTCTTGTTTATAATATGATAAAATCAGAATTTTAATTCGGATTTTCATTAGAATAATTTTCATTAGAATAATAAAACGTGATCGTCGGCAAATGAAATATTGTTCATTAGAAAATGTTTTCATTTCGACGATCACGTTTTTATTATTCTAATGAAAATATATAAGAACTGTCACCATTCAACACTGAGCCCAAATGTTTTGGGTCTGATTCACTTTAAAACTTTCAATAAATACTACTAAAACAAACTGCTTTATAAATACCGTCAAAAATCCAAACTAAAATGCAGAAACTATAAAATTTATCTTAATAACAATAAAGGTAAATTTGAAACCCCATTTTTTGGTGTTGTAAGTTATGAAAGTTTAATCTGATCTATTCATCAAAAACTTATTTCTAATAAAAATATCACAATATACTAATAAATATACTTAAAAAGTATTTTCCTCAATTCATTCTGCTCAGATTTTTATATTATTTTAGATTTTAATAAAATGTTATTAATCCTTCAAAATAGGAAACTGCATATTCGAATTAGAATATTTAAAATCAAGGTGACTACAAACAAAATATAACACCATTTTATTGATAAATTAGCCCAAAGTATAATTTCATATTTGTTGTCATTATTATTGACTGGTTTTATTTTAATTTACAGGAAGTAATCGATCAAATCACGGAAGAGGAAACTAACGAATATGCTTATCCAGAGAGAATCATCCGAGTTGTTGATAGCGGTGTCATCCCCGTAAAAGAGCCATACCACCTCCCTCACCCAGAAGGTCTGGACTTAAATAATGGTACAACTACCAGCACCACAGATAAACCATAAAGTCTTTGAAGGACTACAGTAATATCATTCGAGAAATAGGCCTATTATATATTCCTTTTTTGTTTTGAATGAGACTAAGGTTGATTCACAACACTTCAGTTACATTCGATTGTGATGTGTGCCTAGGCCATAGCAGGCCTACCATTGTCCATTATTGCAACGTTCTTTTAGGCCTACTTTGATTATGATCTAGGCTTATCTTTTGAATACCAATATGATTAGTTTACTTGACTGATTCATCGGTACATCAAACCGACTGTTTATGATTTATGAAAAAACGAGCCAAACATGGCTTTAATTTCAGATGTTTTCTATTCTTAATTGCTAAATTGTCGATCTTATACTTTAATGACAAATGTACCCCATAACAAGTTAAAACTCAAATGACCCTGGTTCATAAGGTGCAATAGTATAGTTCTTTAAAAGAAAACACGTATGAATATTACTCTTTAACAATTAAATTCATACGTGTTATCTTTCTAAAAAGAATTCAATTGACAACACGTAGGCCTATACATTGTTGAATTATCGGAGGCGTAACTACAGGCGGGCGAAATGATCTGGGGTAGGCGGCAAAATAGTCTGGACAAAATATAGGGCTTCCAAATTCTGAAGATGATGACGTATTTTCGTTGAACCAATTAACACCAATATAACAACCACAACAATAACAAGCTCAGTACAAAGCACATCAGAGCTGGACCCGGGCGTCAAACCCCCCTTGTTACGCCCCTGAGTAATATTGAACAGGACAGAAAACAATTCACTGCAAGATTTTATCATCAAGAATTTTGACTATGTATTTTGTAATTAATTTTCTTTTTCTATATGTATTTTATCTTGTATGTATATTGCATGAGTGCCACTGTATCAAAAATGGATCCAATAAATTGATTGATTGATTGATTGACCTAATAATTTGTCTTGGAGTGTCGTATTAAGTGTATTTTAGTTCATAAAGTAATTCGGTGACTGAAAGTAAAAAATGTTCATGCATATCACAGGTTTTTAAACCTAGCAGTAGTTGGGCTTAAACGCTTTAGAAAACGCAAATCACCCGTCCAATAAAATCTTTAAATGGTCTCATATCCACACCCTACATTCGAATCCGGATCGTCACCAAAATTTAATAATTTCCAAGTTACATGGTTATGCTTTTGGTGACGAACATTGGGTTGACTGGATGTTTTCTCCCGAGACAACTATAATACTATTTATAATTGTCTCAAATTTCAACTCTGACCTCCTTTTGTTTCAGTTGGACTGAAATTCAAGGTTTAATAGAACACCTGTACTATCGTTAAACCGTTGGTACGGTGGTGTACAATAATACCTATGTGCACATTAAAGACTGAGGCAGTTACACGTCTCTTCAGAAAAAGGTGGGGATTTCTTGGTGTACTACTGCCCCATTTTACTACCAGAAGAACCCCTCCCAAAATTAGTTTTGGTATTTTAGTAGGTAATTCTTGTTGTGTTTTACACTGAAGAATACAATCTAAGATAAGTAAGAGAACAAATTCTATTCGGAGCCAAACCTAATTTCGCGTACAGATCAGCTTTATCATATTCCATTGGAGAAAAGTACCACATCAATACTGATATAAAATATTTATTTATTGATATTTACAAATTTGTCACATAAAAATTGCTTATAAAAATGCATCCCAATGTAAACATACGGTAATACAGCATTACCCCATGTCAATTTCATAGTTTTTGGACTACCGACAACTTATAAAAATAATGAGTCTTATAACAAGAGAATTAATACTGTATAAAAAAGTCGCGAACTGTTCTTAAAATTGAGACATCAAAATTGCCATCTTCTATACCATGTAAATTTGAAATACTGATTTATATACCACGTGACTAAGATCAATTGTCATTATTTAGTTGCTATCTCAATTGTTACCAATATAGAAACTGAACCTGAAATACACATTTTTTACATTTAATAAAAATATAAACAAATTAAGTACGCACAGATAAAAAAAATAATTCTTCCACCCTGTTGAGTTACATATCATGTGACTAAAAATCAGCAGCCATTATTTAGCTGCATCTCAATTGTTACCAATGTAACTGGTAACTTGAAATACATTTTTTTTCTACAGTTTGTAATAAAAAAATGAACAAATTAAGTATGCACAGATAAAAAAATATTTCTTCCATCCTGTTGCCATGAAAATAGACAAAATAGATGGGACAAATATTGCGATTGAGGCTGACCCTATGTAAGTACCATAAACAAGCCGTACTAACAAGATATTGTTGGTAGGGCTAATATTTCAAATGATTAAAATAATTCATACTAGGTCAACACATTTAAATATGAATGTCTCAGCTAAGTCAAAGTGTCTTAAAGTACTTTTATAACTTTCAACCATTATAAATATAAACTGCCTATATTTTTTATTGGCTCCAAAAGAAAACAATACATTAAATGTAGTTTTTTTACCCGTAAAATTATAAAATGATAAAAAATATGTAAAAGGCAATGAACAAAAAATATATTGCACTGAAAAGTTCCTAATATAAGTTACAACTATACCTAGGAATATATAAATATGATAGAAATTAAATTTAAGAAACAACAGTCACCCATCAAAATGTGCAAAAACATAACAAAATAAAATTAAAAATTGGAGTAAAACCAGTCGATCAAAATTCGAAAGCTATTGCACAATTCACCAATAACATTAACAAACAATAAATTACATTGCAGAACTTCATACACTTCCATGTCATGTGCTAAAAAACTAAAATAGGATCTTTCTGCAGATGCATAGGTATGGGAACTTGTTATGCTTAAAATCCAAACATTTGCAAATTCTGAGGAGGAAGACAATAGTTTTTCATTGTTATGCCTAACATTAGCTTTTTTACTCTATCAAGTTGTCTTGAAATTCCGCCCAGCGCCTAGAATGTCGTCACTTTTATTGTCCGATGAGTATGTTTCAAAGTTATCATTCCAAAAAACTAGAAGCTATATTCATACGAAATTTTATGTAGGTCTACATGTGTCACTACAGTATGTCAACAATTTTAACAGATCGATAACAGAAATTAGGGTCTATTTTGCAACTATATGGGTTAGATTAGTTCACTTATGTTGTTTCGATAATATATACTCAGACTCCTCTAGAGCGGGCACATGGGGACTCATAAGGGAATGAAGACCTGCGAACTGCCACGAGAGCAATATCTAAACGTCCTGAGACTACCGTGGCTCTTGTGGCCTACAAGACATTTGCAAATCTTTGTGTACGAAACATTCAAAAAGGTGTTTTCTTTCCTGTTCTCTATTTATTACTGTGTACGTTACTGTCTTGTCTGTTGCATGTTTTCAGGTGTCTGTATTGGACTGGAACGGTATGAGCAACTTCCTTCACTGGTTTCACGTGTAGGTTTATCAGGGCTATAATCTGTTCTAGGTTTAACTGAATGTCTTCGAAGATGGCTAACGAGGCCTGCTTTAGATCGACACACTCGATCACATTCATTACATTTGTGAATGTTTGGATCCAGTTTTTCAGCTGATCGCTTTGTTTTCACCCTGTAGTTTGTTGATTGTTGAGCCTCATTTATTTCTATGATTCCCTTATTATTCACTATAACTATGTTTTTATCACCGATTACATTGATTTTCACGCCTTCGTCCTGGTTACTCTCATCAGCAGGTGTTAGCTCTGTTATCAGTTTCTTCAAGAAAAAAAACCCAAAAAAAACCCCATAAAAACATAATTAGATATTATGAGCATCGTGTAATCACTACATCCATTAGGTTTGATATTTCCTAACATGCATTATTGACAGATTTAAAATCTGGTCTCTCTTATCGTTCAAAGAGGCTCTTCTTTTATTGTATTCTTCAATGCTAAGCAAATAAACTTCAAAAGAAACTTTCTTATTCACAATAAAGTTCATCTATACCAACCTACATCCTGATTGGTCAGTAGACCTATTTATTAATATTTTGGAATTTACAGAATCGAAATAATGAATTGTGTGTACCTTATCGACCATCAACATTTCTGTTTCATGTTACATATAAAATAAGCCTACTTAAGAACAGTACTTACTTTTGTAGAACTTGTAATTCCACTGTTATCATTTCCTACAATATCAATAAAACGAGATAGGAAAAGAAAAAATAAATAGGAAAAAGGAAAACGAAGAGTTTCTAATTAATATACTCGGTGATATCTATACAGTAACAATATAAATAAAATAGCAATAATAATGATAACAATAATGACAACATCAAATGTAACAATAACAATAATAATAATAATAATAGTACCAGTAGTACCATTATTATTAGGCTAATATTAATATTATAATAATAACTGAATATATAGCAACATCACACTTATTAATAGCAACATCACACTTATTAACTGTTGTGGATAAAAACGATGCAACTGTCCATAGTTTTGACATCTTCACGACTTAGATGTATTATAAAACGATATATACCATAGCATAACTGAAAACTGAATAACATATTTACCTAGCGATGACGTCAGGCCAGTACCAAATGAAGAAACAGGCATTTTGTTGGTTTGATTGTCATTCTATGAAAAGAATATATATTTAATGTTAATTTAATTTCTATTACAAGGTAGATTTTAATGGGTGTTTTTTTTCTTTCAAATTGAACAAATCAAATAACTTACTGTCTTTGCCAGGCTTTCCAACGGATGTTTCACTACTGCAATAAAAAAAAAATATAAACACTCTTATTGAAGCCAGTTTATGCAGAGATGCAGTATTAACCAACTGGGCATCCAGAGCTTTTGTTGGAAGTTCAAACTGGATTTGAGGTAATTTGATTTGATTTCAACAGTTAAACGTACACGCCAAACAAGGATCAATGAGCGGATACTCACTCTTCTTAAGCATCTTAAAAACGACAAGGCGGTATCTCCTATAATATACTTTTTATTCGTATGGAGGTAAACTCTAAATCCTAAACTGTCTTACGTTAATGGTTTATGGATATATAGTTAACAGGAATTTTCGAGTGTGAAA